GACACTGGTTTAGCCCAGGATATTTTAAAGAGGGAGAAGAGAAAGCCTATTCATCTTGTCTGTGTGAATGGTATTTGTATATTCATAAGCTATTTTTGGTAAGAATTTTAAATCTTTTAGCTAAATGCCCACAGGCATCACGACCTTTGCCTTCCTTAAGGACACAAATTGTACAAACACTTTATAAAGAGCTAATTATTGATGTTAAAACATGACCCCACATAAGCTGCTTGTTAATCACTTGCCCCCATTAACTGACATCCATGAGCATAACCTTTGTTATATTGTTCTTTTTGATGTAATTTGTAGAAATGTTTTTTAGTTCATAATGGAAAATGTATTTACCCTGAAAAATTACTTATTTTGTTTAACTTTGGTATAAAGATGTTTGGGCATTTTCTCGGGGAGGGGGGATTACAAAAGAAGTTTGTCTCCCACATCAAAAAAGTTCAAAGAAATTAAGTATTTATTATATTTTTTGCAGATGTTTCCATACAATTCACATAACCTTTTTGTAAAGAGAGATGAAGAAATGGATTAAAGATTTTTAATATTTGAAATGGTAAATAGAACTAATTTATTTGTAATATATTTCTGTTATTTATAGATGTTTCCTTAATGTTTTACTGTGCATTACCACTTTAATTTAAGCCTTATCCTTGTGAATTTACCATTTCTTTTTAAAAACATGTCTAGATGCATATTTTAAATAACTGGAATGTAAATCACTAGCATATCTGAATTCCCAAATGTAATTTTTAAAAATTATTTTGGTTTGGAAAAAGATTCATTTGAAAGCCTTCAGATGGAGGGGTGGGGAACATTTTTATGGCTTTATGAATTGGAATTTCATAGGCTTATCTACCTAGATTGTGTGTGGACAAAAAAAAATTGTAAATAGATGAATGTTTCCCATAATGTAAAAAGAAGAAATTAATAAAATAATTAATGCACTGCTTTCAGGTCTGCATGTTTTCACTACAGAGTCCTGTTTCTTCCAAGATATAATTAATAGCCGTTTAGGGGAATAATTAAGCAATTAAGCATAACATTCTAACTTTCATTATAACAACACATATGCTAGTCACTGTTGGGTCAAGGAGTAGACCTTGTATCCTACATAAAGGACTTAAATACTGAGAACTGAAAGTCACTTTACTATGATGTTCACACATATGTGAAAGTTTCAAATCAAGAGCTGTATATTTTATGAAAGAAGTTATTAGTGTCTCAAAACTGTGCTAATCTGTATCTATCTTATCCACTTGAATTTCTTTGCAAACATTTCATCAATTTTGTTTTTTACACTGTTCTCCAGGGTAGGAAAAGTCAGAATAATGCTTTGTGGTTTTCAATTATTCTCGTAGTAATGAAACACTGTGCTCACTGATGTTTAGTGACTTGCCCGATGTGACATAATTATTAAGTGACATAGTTGAGTCCAAAATTCAAGCCTTCATTCAGCTCTTCAGTGAGACCTCTATCATTCTGCCAGAGTTTAAAATTGGTAATTAATTTGTGACTGTTGACTTTGGGTTTTATCTAGGTCATAAATCTTACTTCATATACACAAAAATACAGACATCTTTTTTTGAAAAAAGTAAATTACACTATTTTATGAACTTGCAATTATCTGAAAATGCTGTAACTGAAGAAATCTGTATCCACACTGCTCTCCCCACCAAGTTCTTGGGCACACCCATCCACCTATACGCAACAAACTTAAAAATTGTTAAGCAAAAAAGGCACTTCTTCTGATTTCTATACCTAGGCAAAACCTGTGCCAGTCACCAAAATGATACAATGTATTTTTTGAAACTGCTTCAAAAGAGTTTGAAGTGGCTGGATCCTTGTGAGTCTGTAAAGATCTTACTACTTGGGTTCATGAACTGACTATTCCCGGAGTCTGAACCTTGATTACACTTAAAAAGTCTCGCCTTTTAACAAATTAATTCTTATATTTTATTAGGGCTCTTTAAAAATTTCGGCCAATATGCAAACCAAATGAGTTAGTTTCTGCCTGTGGAAATTTGAATTTCAGTGAAGCAATTTCCCATGTTACACGGTTCACCCCCAGCAAAAAATGTGATTTCATTTTTAATAGAAATTGAACAAAATTGTTTGCTTTGAGTAAGGATTTCTTTTTATGTCTTTGAAATCCACCCCCTTGAAAATATAATTTTATTTTGGTTTAAATAAATTATATTTAAAAATTATAGTGTCTGAATGTGTTCATTCTCGGATGCCACTGACAGATATTAACAGGTGCTGAAATTTGAAATCTACTTCAGGTTTGCTCCTCTGTGTGACTTTCAGCTGCTAAAGCCAGAGTAGATCAATTCCTTTTGCAAACAGAAACTAGTGGCCCTGAAAACTGTCTCAGGGTCCTAACTCACGTATTAGTATGTTTACAAAATAGTCCTTAAATTCCTCTGTAAATCACTGTCATCTCCCCTGAAGCAGAGAGGAAATAGCATGCTGCTTCTCGGTCCATACGCTTTCCTCGGGCTTTCTACTGGCCCAGGGAGCCCTCATCAGATAATCGACAGGAATGTAAAGCCCCGGTGCCCTCCTGATTCCTGGGTCTCCATTTAGCCAAGCTGATGCATTATTTCCTTGTCTTTTATGAAAATGAGCACAAGCCTGAGTTTATAGTCAACGGCTGAAATCGAGAAAGTTTTCAATAAACACCAGAAGTCAAGTTCTGCCATGTAGCTGACAGAACTGTTGCTATTCATTGCAACAAATGTTTTCACTAGTACAGCTGAAGACTGTCATCCTTCCTTTTCACACTTCCAGCCTGCCTTCTGTGAGAAGTACCTGCTAATTTCCTCTTTTCAGATTGCTTGATAGGTAAATTGGTGTCGTGAGGGAGCTTCCATTGAGACCTTAATAAAGAGACTCTTCCATAGAAAAACTCACACTGTCCCTACGGAAAGGACACAGAGGGAACAAATAGAGCCTTAGTTTTCCTAGGGGGAAATGCATTCCTCCTATTGTCCCTATGGGAGGTTATGAACAACAATTACAGGTCTCGTAGCCTTCGATCCTAATGCTTTCATAGCTTCTAGAGGCCAATGCTCTACCAACAGAGGATACTCCTGCACAGCTAGCCTTCTGAGATTCACACACATAATCATTGATTGATGATTCCTTCCTTGTTTCTAGGGCTTCAAGTCCAATGCCTACCAGCAGTTTAAATTATGAAAGAGGAGAAACATCGAAGGAGTTAGACAATATTGGGGACGGCCCATGACGTGTACTGTAGGAAACATCTCTCCAGATTAAAATAATTATATTCTACTACTGTCAGTGACACTTTTTAAAATCCCAGCTGTGTCACATCATTTCTTTTTTGGAATAAGACCTAATGTACCTTACCGCCTCAGCCAATACAGTGTCTTTCTGTAATTCCCAAGGGTGAGAAAAATCAGATCTCAAAGGCAGAACGTGAACAAAGGTGAGAAAGGGATAGGTTAAATAATTCACTCTTAGGTTCCTTTCCCATTTGATTTAATTTAACACATTCATTAAGAGCCTCCCGCTCCCCAGCTTGCTCAAGGAAGAGAGCCTCGCGGCCTTTTCCGCAGTCGGTGGCGGGAGTTAACCTTTCCTCTTTCCTGCAGCCCGGTCTCGGCAGAAGCAGTCAGTGCATGGGAGGCCTCGGAGAGCCTGGCCCTCCAACACTGAGCTTGACAAACGTGAAAGAGCAGCTCAAAGGCTTTTGAATTCTTTCTTATGTTAGTCAATCAGTAATGGGTCTGAGATGTTTGAAGAGGGATCCTTTTCAAGACGTTGATATCTTTGTGCTGGGGCTTGAGGTGGTGCACGAAGGATCCCTTGACCAGCAGGTTGTTCAAAATGAAGTCTTCACAGAGAGTGAAAATCTGAACAATAGCTGGAAACATTGCAGCAGCAGAGAGATGTTAGCACAGGAAAATGAGGATTTCCAAACTGAATGCTACTGAGTGTTAAGAACTTCATAACTAGTGGTGAAGCAAGGAATAATTATTCAGACAAGTCTGAGTAATTCTGAAGATAAAGAGAGAAAGTAAAGCACTCTATTAACGAGAACCTAAGATGTTTTGGCATCAGACTATTCAGGATCTGTCAGTCGCTGATTCATGGTGTAATTGTTCTCAAGGGCACTTCATTTTCAGACAGGTTATTAGGAGGCCAAGGAGCAGCTTTCTTCTAGCAAAGGCATCACATTAGAGTTGGGTTAAATATTCAGCTGAGAGAACCTGGGTTAAATATTAAGGAAATGCTTACCTAAAGAATACACGACATCTTGACTGCCCTGAGACGCTTGGTGCACTGTCCTGGGGGAAGTCACTATGACAGAACTGAGTCACCGAATGATCCTTATGAAAGAGGGAAAGTCCTCCATGGCTTTTAGTGTTTAAATTTGCTTATTAGGTGATATCATACAAAAAAGAGAGATCTGCACACACATGCACGCACATGCACACCCATGCAGACACACATGACCTCTATTGGCTTCAGCCCAAAGGGAAGTAATAATTTCCTAGCAAGGTTTCTGTCAGTGACTCCAAATCCATGAGCAGAGAGGATCCAGCTGGGAGAAAACCAAGGCAAAGGGAAAAGTCCCCACACACTCCACCAGAAATGACACTGTGTCATTTTGATTGTAATATTCCAACTTGGGGTTAGGTAGAAAAGCACTGCCATACTCTTACAAATATCTCCAGCCTTTCTCTTAGAAACTGGACTGACCCTCTCATCAGCCTCAAACTTATGCCATGAGCAAGCCTGTCTGCCCAGAAGGGACAGAGCCATCCTGTAAGGGGGGGAAGAGCTCAGGTTATGCAGCAGACTGCAGGTGTTTGAATCCTAGCTCTACCACTTATTAGCTGCATCTTTTTGAACAAGTTACTTAACCATCCTGTACCTCAGTTTCCCTATCTGTACAATTAGGATGAAAATAATACTTATAGCTCTTTCTCTGCCATGGTTTATGCAGCTGATTCTTCTTTGCCATGTCTTCTCGCAAGACTTTCAGGATCAAGAGGTTCTTGGGCAAGAAACAAATGCGGAATCAGCCCATTTCCCAATGGATTCAAATAAAAACTGGTAATAACATCAGGTATAACTCCAAGAGGAGACATTGGGGAAGAACCAAACTGGGTCTATAAGGGATCGCACAGGAGAGGTGGCTCATGTACATACACTGTATCCAGGTTGCCTGCATCTTGAAATCACTGAAAAGATCACTACTGTTTTGACAGCTGGGCATTTTAATTGGGACATTCTTGGAAAAATGATTTTTCCTGTTGATTTTTTTCTGCAGTAGTAGGTCGGTTCAATACTAAATGTGAACCCTTTCTTTTAAAAAAAAAGAAAATAATACTCACAGGGTTGTTCTAAGGATGAAATGAATATATATAAAGCTCTTAATACAGTGAATGCCTGACACAAGGTAAGCACCCAAATGTTCAATGTGATCATCATCATCATTACATGTTCACACTTACTAGGAAAGTGGTTTGCGCCCTGGTTGCACTATTGTATATGCATTTTGTGACCTGACAAGACAGTCACTACATGTAAGTTACTCAGAGATTAAGGAGCATTCCAGGGTCACTGGAAAGTGACAGAGCCAGTATTTGAATCCAGTCTAATTCTTCATATGTGTATGATTTGTGCAAGACAAAGAAATTTGTCTGTCATTTTTCTACCATTTTTAAAATTTAGTAATGTATTGTTTTATTTTAGAACATTTTGATCTACCTATTCTCTTCAATGACTCCACAACATTCCATTTTATGGATGAACCATTAGACATTATTTAGTCCCCTTATTGATGGACATTTAAGCTATTTCCATTGCTTGCCATGACAAACAAAATCTGTAATGAATATTGTTCTACACTGTATCTTCAGTACATATGGAAATGTATTTATAAGTTGTGTTCCTAGATAAATGGACATGCACTTTTGTTTTCCAATATTGCCAATTGACTTTTCAAAAAGGCTATCTTGATTTCCACCTCACCAAACATGTGTGAGTTTTAGTACTTACCTTTGCAAACAAGAAAACAAGGCATTCGTAAAGTAAATTCAGAGCCAAGATTAAAAATTTAACAACAAAAAGTCCAGGAGTCTTGTTAGCTTTCAACAAAGGGGAAGAAAGGTTTTCAGAAATGTGGCAATGGTATAAATGCACTTTTTAATGTAAATCCCAGAACAAAGGTGCTAGAATTGAAGGAAGATATAAGCGTATGTTAGCCCTGGGGTGTGAACTTATTGGGGAATTGGGCCTCTGTCATATACCTTAGAGGACAGTCTAAGAGGCACTTCCCGCAGCAGGTCCACGGTCACCATGGGGGCCCAAGCCAGGACTGGGAGCAAAGCCTAAGCCCTTTGATGGTTAGTAGGTTTAAACCACAGGACACCAGTTCCTACACCTGGTAGTTCTTTTGTTTCTTATCAGGGCTTTTTTCTTTTCTTTTTTTTTTTTTAAGTAAAACTTCACTTCTACAAAGGTTTTAGGCCTTCACCAGGTAGCTTAGTGGGTTAGAGTGTTGTCCAGATACACCAAGGTTGCGGGTTGAATTCCTGCCAAGAGCACATACAAGAATCAACCAATGAATGCATAAATACATGGAGCAGCAGGTCAATGTTTCCCTCTCTCTCTCTCTCTAGGATCAATATAAATGAATGAATGAATGAATGAATGAATAGGCCTTAAGACAATTTATAGAATTAAAACATAAAACTCTGAATACTTTTTAAATGAAAGAAAAAGAAAATTGGTAGATAGATAACTTCACCGATGTCCCAGTCCCCCAGGGTCCTGAGTTGAGGCAAATGAATACTAAAATTCTTTCTAGGCTCCCTGATGGCCAGAGCAAAGTGGTCAGCATTTTTTACTTTGTTTTCATTCAGTTTTGGAAACACCAAAAACTCTGAAAGCTCCTTCTATGCTCAAAGAACTACCAACATGATGTTGTGTACGTTGCAAACCTAGTGTATGACCTCACAGGACTGCCTTGCTAATCATAGCATTGACAAATGACACAAAGTACAACTGTGTCTTTAAAATAAATTCTACTTTATTTAACTGTTTTGATTGATTTTTGGTTCTTGGCAAACAAATGGTCTCAGATTAAGACAGTTTAACATCCTTGTTGAGTCCAACATCCTTTGGAGTTCACTGCAAGAATATGCCCTTCCTTCTAGGAAGTAAGCAATATTTCAGTGGATTTTTTTTTTCTTTTCTTTTCTCTTCTTTTCTTTTCTTTTCTTTCTTTTCTTTCTTTTCTTTCCTTTTTTCTTTTCTTTCCTTTCTATCCTCTTTTCTTTTCTTTTAAAGCAGACAACTTGACAAAGAAGAAGTCCTTGTTTTCCTGCTCAGACAGACCCATATCAGTGTGGGTAACACTGATCAGTCTGATCAGTCTTGACCTATTTGTCTATAAGCAGGAGCTCTTCATTTCCCAAACGTATTCCTTTGCCTGCCAAAGGTTACCTGCTTTCCACCCAGCAGTCTCCTGCTATTTCTGCGCTGGCTGGAAGATGGAAGACACTGCTCTCCCCCAGGGCTGTCACCACCTAACATCGATGTTGTTCTAGGACCCGGAGGGCAGTTCCAGTTCATTTAGGCAAACTCACCCTGTGTCTTTTAACACACATTAGGACAGAGGAGTCTTCCTCAGTGTGGGAAAGCACACAGAGGTCTGCTCAGAGTAGCTTTGGTTCTGAGGCCTGGTTAATATTTCATCCCCAGACCAGGGAAGACTATGCTTTGACGTTGAATTTAAACCACCATTTCTTTATTAAATGTAATATGCTGGGCTGAGCTGTTCTTGCCTTCCAAACAGTAGCCACATTCCACTGTTCGGAAGGTGCGGAAAAGGGAAGAAAAGAGGGTAAATACTGCAAATGCCAAAGAAACAAAGCAAATGAAAACTTGAAAATTAGCCAAAGGATTCTGTCTTTTACAAAATACATAAAGTGATTGACTGGAGAGAGGAAGGTAAAGATTTATGGAAGATGGAGTTTGACTTGAAAGCTTTTAACAGCCTTGGGAATAATTGTTCTCAAACTTCGGTGTTTTTAAGAATCACTTGGGGATCACTTAGCTGTCCCCTACCTCCCCCTACTCAGCAGATCCTGAATCAATGGGTCTGTTCAGAGAGCCAGTCTTGAGTTTCCAGCAAATGTACCCGTGAGGTGAGACTAACGCCAGAGTCCGCCGGCCGGCCTCCGAGGGCTGTGGTCCAGCAGTGGTCTTCAATCTGTGAAGCTTTAAGGCCTGCGCAGCAGATTAATGACATTAAAATATTTGGGTACAGTGAAAGATGAGAACCCGGCCTCTGTGGAAGTATTTTTCAGCTGCACAACCATGGACAACACTGTTCTATAGTTTATTTGGGCTGCTATAACAGAAATACCAAAGACTGAGGGGCTTATATAACATTTATTTCTCACAGTTCTGGAGGCTGGCAAGTCCAAGGTTAAGGCACCAGCAGATCCAGTGCCTGGTTTTTAGGCACCCATCTTCTTGCTGTGCACTCACTTGGCCTAGAGAAAAGGCTCTACTTCCTTCTTCTTTTTAGAAGACATTAATCCCATCAGGACCCCATCTAAAGCTAATTACTATCCAGACGCTCCACCTCCAAATCCCATCACGTTGGGTGAGGATTGGGGCCTCGACACCTGAACTGGTTAGGGGAGACACAAACAGTACATGGTCTGTGGCCCATTGCACAAATAGAATTAGTGGTAGCTTTATTAGTGGAGTAGTGCTTAGCAAGAAACAATTTAAAAAGAGCATTTTATATTTTTTTAAAAGTAAATATGGTGGTTTTGCATCCTTTCCAGAATAAAGTGGGGTATATAACCCACATAGTGTGTGTGTGTGTGTGTTTTATTCTAGGGTCTCACTACTCTCTCTTCCTGAAACTAAAATCCTATTTTCATTAAAAGTGAACATGGAAGTTCCTGGTATGAGAAAGTGATTTGGGGAAATATTTCTTTTTTAGTTATGAAGTTTTCTCTTTTTTAAACAATTTACATTTTTTTAAGTTTTTTTTCTTAATTTATTGATTTTATAGAGAGAGAGAAACAGTGATTCATTGTTCCACCTATCTATGCTTCTTGTATGTACCTTGACCTGGGATTGAATCCACAGTCTTGGTGTATTGAAATGATGTTCTAACCAACTGAGCTACCTGGCCAGAGCTGAAGTTTTCAGAAACTCTTTTAAAACTTAGTAGCCAAAGCAATGAACTATCCAAAACATAATGCTCAGGCTCTGAATATCTCACTGCAAGTAACTAAGACTTCTTGGAAAAAGAGCAGCTTTCAAAGGCTGAGGCAATAATGTATTGAATAATCACAGATTATCTTCTTACCCAGATAACAAAAACACTATAGATGACTGTCATTTCAAAAGAAGCTCTCACTGGCCAAAAATGGGACAGCTGGAACATCAAAAAGAAAATAACTGCACATGAAATATGTGAAATCCATAAGTTCATAATAATACTCTGTACTCTATATTCTACACCCAGTATAACAGAACTCTGTGCAATGACGGAAGTGTCTGTGTATGCACTGAAGCATTCTCCCCACAGATCTTTCTCCCTCAGTTGTCCTCGGTCTTTAGGTGAAGGTCTCCTTCACGTTCTCTTTATAACTCTATCACCTGACATGCAAGCATTTCCTTTCTCTTCGCTGTTTTTCTCCATTCCTCTTATCATTATCTAACCTACAACAGACAATCAACAAAATGCATAAATAAATGTCTTCTAGAACCTAAACCCCCAGAAAATAGGGGTTTATTTTTTTAATTAAAAAAAAAATCCTCACTGGAGCATACCTTCACTGATTTGAGAGAGAGAGGGAGAGAGGGATAGAAAGAGAGAGAGAAACATTGATGTGAGAGAGAAATATCTATAGGCTGCCTCCTCTACATGCCCTGAATGGGATTTGACCCTGCAACCTTTTGGTGTATGGGATGCCACTCTAAAAGCATGGGAGAGAAACTTGAAATCAATGTTTCTTTCTATCACCCTTCTGTTGTTTCACTTATTTGTTCATTCATTGGTTGATTCTGTATGTGCCCTGATAGTGGGTGGAACCCTCAGCCTTGGCATATTGGGACGGCCTTGTAACCAACTGAGCAACCT